ATGTTGATACTCATATTCAGACAAAACTGGTTGCTGCATATTCACTTCCAACTTCTATTGGTGCCACGAAGCTGTCGTTCTTCATGGGGCTTCATGTGGATTTTAGACTGATGATGAGTAGATATGATTTCAGCACCAGACCTGTCATTTGTGGAAGCTCTTTGTGCCCAGGTGGACTTTCCCGAGACGCCCGTGCCAAGGACTGCTACTTTGAGGTGGGACTGTGGGAGGAACCTCGAAAAGCCAAATTATTGGATGGTTCATGCATTTGGGTATACAAAGCAACAGTCAAGCTTGGGTTCTGATTTGACTGCTCTCCGGATTTGTTTAATTGAATCTGCCTACTGCACAACCAATCGAGGGTGTAAAGACCAATGTGTTTGGTAGTTGTTTGCGTTGATTTGGGCATGTGTTTCAGCTCGCGCTTGGTTTCCTGTTTGGCAGGGCCTGGGGGAGCCCTGTGAGGACTCCTGTGATCCGGGAGCCCTTTGGCAATCAGCTGGAGCACCTGAAACTGACGGGTCTCCTGCACATGTTGAACGAGTAACGTGGTCTGGAAAGAGAGGAAGCTGTGACTTAAGATTTTTCAGACCCTGCGCTGCGCGCAGAAATCTGACTACTTGTCCGTCTCAATTGAGGGCGCTCAAGATTCCTGTTTAAGCTTGGAATTTACAACAATTGCACTGCGAGGAAAAGGGGTAGTTGAAAAAGCAGTTGCCTAACAGTGTTCTTCCACTCCAAGCTTGGTTTTCCTCTTAGACTGTACAGACACTTCCTTGGGAACAAAGGTTCATCCCACCATATCCCACCATATCCCACCCATCTCCACGTCCATCCACCTCCAAGGCAGAATTCAAACATTGAGGTTTGTGCGAAGGCGTGCCATGTTTGTCTCACCAAACGTTTTTTCCTTGGCTGAGATGCCTTGGACCTTTTGTTGATCTTTGACTTCACTCTTGGACTCCAGACCTTGGCTTTCACTAGTCGTCCGAGATGGCTGAGTTTGAAGGTAAGAATATCAACATCATGCGTCAATGGTTGTATCCTCTTGCATCCACACTTATATCTTCAGACACATATACTTGTTCTCCAGATGATCACCCAAACAAATCAGACCGAATCTCCAGAGCCGCCAGGTGTGTTCCGCCCTGGAAGGATTTGCTTTGCGGGATCCGAAGAACTTGTTCACCATCATCGAGCGTCCTGGTTCGGGACAAGGGAGCTTTGCGGTGGGCCTAGGGCGACAAAAGGGCCACTCTGGTGAACTCCAACCCAATAGCGATGGCCTCCAATCTAACAGCGATGGCCGGCCTCCAATCTAATAGCGATGGCCTCCAATCTAACAGCGATGGCCTCCAATCTAATAGCGATGGCCTCGAATCTAATGGCGATGGCCTCCGAACTGCCTCCAATCTAATAGCGATGGCCGGCCTCCAATCTAGCGTTGGCCTCCAATCTAATAGCGATGGCCTCCGATCTAATAGCGATGGCCTCCGATCTAATAGCGATGGCCTCCAACCTAAGAGCGATGGCCTCCAACCTAAGAGCGATGGCCTCCAACCTAAGGGCGATGGCCTCTAATATATAAGTCTACAAAGTTGTGAAGGAAAGAGTACATTCAGGAGGTCTTACGTAGGCAGGAGAGTGCCTTTTGAAAAATATAACAAGCGGGACGCCCTGAGTCCCTGAGATTGCACTTTTAAGTCTTTGTGTCTGATATACTGCTGTAGTTGCTTTGTTGCTGTTGCTTTTTGTATGAGAAGTGCGTTGTAGTAAGCCAAGACTGCCCCAAACGGTCTAACAATCACAAACGATCAAACAACCCAATACGACCAAAAAATCAATAGCAGTCACACACAATCCAAAAGACAAAGCACATTCAATCAATAAGATGTCTGAAAAAAACAAACAACAAAAATCAATGAACAAGTCAAATAAGCACAATTCAAACAAATCGTACAAAGTCTGTTGTTTTAGATTCTAAAGTTAAGATGTGATTTCTTGTTTCAATAATCAGGTTTCTTTTGGTCCTCTTGGATTTTGTTTTGTTTCCATAGAATTGTAGAGCAGAGCTTCCCACACCAGCGATGCCATAATGGTTGTTGTTTCTGTTGTCGGTGTGTGTCCTGCCAAACATCTCCTGCGTCTTTTCAGATTGTCCACATGCGACACCCCATTCTTAGATATATACGTGATTATATGTGATTCCCGTCAGGGATATCACACTGGTAGCTCCTAGGATCTCCTAATCCTACCAAAGGATCTACCTAAAGGGAAAACCTAATTCCACCTACCGTCCGCGGCCGCGCGGTCTTTTCCGCCACCTATCCGAGTCCACTCGTGCTTGTCCTTGAGC